AGAGGCCCTGGCCTAGGCCTGCCAGGGGGACAGGGCAGGGCAGCCAGCCACAGCTGGTAGATGGGTCTGGAGGTATCTGAACAGCTCACGAAGCCTCAGAGGCCCAGGGGACAGTCCCTTTGGCACCTGAGGCACAATAGAGAACAGCATAAAAGTGATTGACCTGAGGGTACCAGCCCTCACCACGGGAACAGGCATAGTGATACCCCGCTGTCACCCCTGCAGGGAGAGCACCCAGGAAGGAAGGGACAAGCCCTGCAGTTTCACAGACACACACAGACACACAGAGGCAGGCTCAGGCAGGGGTGATGCTGTCACTGGCACCCTGGAGGTGACCCTAGGCACCCAGGGGCTTAGGCAGCAGCACCACCCGGACAGCTGAATGCAGACCCACTCATGGGTGGGACACCCGGCTCTGGGCCATCTTAACTGCAGTCCCTGTGTGAGCCCCTGTCTGGTGCAGTCAGGGTGGTGCAGGCTCAGTACTGTGCCCGTGTGGAGGGGTGTGGAGGGAGCGTGGTGCTCTACCGCCCTGCCCTGCTGGCACCGCTCTCCCAGGCTGGATTTTCCTGCAGGGCTTTGGGTTTTGTTTTTGAGCCACTCCAGTGCTGGTCGTGTGCCAGACGCTGTGCCAATGCAGGGATAATGTGTACAAAGTTGTTTTGAGTACAGCCCTTAAATTAATGTGGGTCATGACGTGTGTTATTATTTACATGCGTACGCTCATTCTCATCACAGTCCTGTGAGGCAGGCTGCTATTACTGTCTCCATCTTACAGATAAGGAAAGTGAGGCTTACTTGGTTTAAGCCAGGCATGGTGGTAAACACCCATAATCCCAGCACTCAGGAGGCTGAGGATAGCTACCAGGCTATGCAGTGACTTCAAGAATAACCTGGGCTACACAGCAAAACCCTGTTGCAAAATAAAAGCGAATGGCAGGGGCTGGATTTGAACCCCAGTCCCTGACTGCAGTTTGCACTCTCAGTTTTGTTGAGTTGCCCCACGGGGAAGCCAGCCCCATGGACTGAACCAGGTCATCAGCACCCCATGCCTTGGGGAGGGGTTGAGGACAAGCTCCCAGAATGGTAAGGCTTGGCATGGAGGGCCCTGTGCCCACTTCCCCACATTCCACTTTCTGTCCTGTCGTTTGTCCCATTGCCCTCTGTGTGGCTGGAGGAGACCTGTGGGCTCTGTGGCAGCTGGCTTGTTTGGAGGGCTGTGCTGGCTGGGCTCTGTCTGTGGGACCTTGGGCAGCTTGCCACCACCCTGCCAGGTCTAAGTGGGGTGACACTGCCAGCTGGGACTTCAGCTTATCTCTGGCCCCTGGCATTTCTGTCTGGACACGTGCCAGGGGCAGCCTCCTGCTGGGAGTTGCAGTCCTGTCCTGGTGGGTGTGCCCCCCACCTCCTGTGCAGCAGCCCTGTGCATCCTGGAAACATTGGGGAAGCAAGAGCTAAGGGGGTTCAGTAGTGATTTGCCTTGGTCTCACTGATGCCCCACGAAACTCCGGAGTTGGCCTTTGTCCCGCCCTGCCAGAGGTCCTGCTTAAATCGTGGACACCTGCTCCAGAATCCTTGGTGAGCTGGGGAATTGCTCCTTCTCAGCTCTGGACCCAGACCAGCAGCATCAGAGGCTCTAGGGACAGCTCTGGGTTCCAAGTGACTTCGCTGCACCCCATACTGGATGAACGTGGTTTCTGGGAAACCTCCTGCATTGGCCTCCTACTCCAGTTCTTTTCTGCTGGGAGGCTCTGCAGAAGTTGCTTAGCTTCTCTGAGCTTTGATTTCCCCATTTGGAAACTAGGCATAAAACAGTACCTGCTTCGTGAATGCAGTTAGCAGCTGCAACATATTTAGCATGGCCCCTTCACAGTGGGGACCTGCAGTGACCAAAGAGGGTCTCTTTAGGACGGTGGTCTTCCCAAGGGCCGAGCGAGGAAGGGCAGACACGCATTGGCTCATGGTATAAGGTGCAGGTGATGGGGATTGTGCCAGAATTTCTGCCCTGGCAGAGATGGTCACTGCTGCTCAGCCTCGAGATGTGTGCAACAGTGAGTGAGGGCAAAGTAACTTCGATTCCCTTTTCTCTTTGGTCACCAGGAGGCTCAGTGCTAATTGTGCTGCCCATCTCTAGTAGTTGTGTGAGGCCTTATGACCTGCAGTGTGAATCTTTCCCTCCTCTCTGTTTTAGATATCTTTTTCAGATGTTTTTTCCTCTGCCACCTGATTTTAATGTTTATATTTTACTACTTTCTTCCGTTTGGGTTTCCACTCCCTCTGGAACCAGGCTGAGGGTGTGTAAAATCTCAACATGTAGACACATGTGCAGCTGTCTTCACCACTGCTTTGCAGCTATTGCTGCTTTTGCTTCCTGGGCTTCAGGGGGCTGTTTTCATGATCATAATCCACTGGTCAGTCAAGATGTGCCTGACAGTCTGGGGGCTGCTTTCGCTTGTTTTTCTGTTCTTATCAGCTGCTTAGCATTTTTAAAATAATTTCTCTTCAAACTCTTTAGTAATTCAGAGCATAAACATACCCTGTGAGTATGTTTCTTTCTTTCTAGTTTATATCTTTCACTTTATACACATACAACCAGCTCATTGTAGAATCTAAAAATGATAAAGTAAATGGAAAAGAAATTGCCTGTAATTATCTGTAATCCTACCAGGGATCCCATTTTTCAGAGTTTTTTTCTTTTTTGGGTACCAGGGATCAAACTCGGGTCCTTGTGCTTGTGGGGCAGGTGGTGGAACCACTGAGCTAAATCCCCGGCCCAAATTTTTTCTTTTTTTTTTTTGGTACCAGGGATTGAACTTGAGACCTTGCACTTTCAAGGCAGGCACTGGAACCACTAAGCTAAATCCCCAGCCCCTTTTAAGAGTTTTGGATTTTTTGTGGTTTTTTTGTTGTTGTTTTTAGTTTTGGGGTTTTTTTTCCCTCCGGTTGCCTGGGCTGTTCTTTGGAACTTTTTTTTTTTTCGTACCGGGGATCGAACTCGGGTCCTTGCGCTTGTGCAGCAGGTGGTGAAACCACTGAACTAAATCCCCAGCCCTTCCTGGGCTATTCTTAAACTTGGGATTCTCCTGCCTCAGCCTCGAGAGTCCTTGGGACTACAAGGTGTGCCATTACACCCCACCCATTTTTCAGCATTTTGTGATACAGTGTTTTGGGGTTTTGTGTTTCTGGGGTTTTTTTGCACAAAATAAAAGAATCTGACTACAAATACTACTTTTTTTTTTGGTACTGGGGATTGAACTCAGGACCTTGTGCTTGCAAGGCAGGCGCTGGAACCACTGAGCTAAATTACCCCGGCCCAAGTACTATTTTATAACTTTCATTTTCACTTGGTAATAGATACTTAGCATCTCTCCTCATTATTACATATTCTGAAACAAGGAGTAATACTTAAATTTTGTATCAGAGGTACACGCACACAATTTTTATAAAAGCATAAAAGGGCACTTTGTAAAGAACAAAGCCTGTTGTCAGTCTTCTCCAGCCCTGGTTCAGAGGGGCTACTAGTTAGTAGTCAATTAAGGTTGTTGTTTAGCGAGTTCCTCTGTATTGTGAAGTAAAATGCCTGTGCGCTCTTTCTTTACATATCTGACTTCCAGACTTGCTGCTGAGAGACATGTGGCTTTCTAAGACCCTTCCCTGCCTCCCAGTACACAGTATTCTGCCACAGTGTTCATTTCCTCTGTTGCTCTCCTTTGGATTTAATAATACCCTGGAGCTGGGGCAATAGCGCAGTGGTAGAGCATGTGTTTAACAGGCACCACAATCATCGTCATCATCATCATCATTGTCATCAAATCTTTTTTTTTTTTTTTGGTGAAACTGGGGTTGGACCCAGGGCACTCTATTCCCAGACCTTTTTATTTTTTATTTTGAGAGTGTCTTGCTAAGTTGCCCATACTGGTCTACTGTGATCTTCCTGCCTCAGCCTCTTGAGTAGCTTAGATTACAGGCGCCACCAGTCTATTTCTTTTTGGTACCGGAGATCAAATTAGGGACCTTGCGCTTGCGAGGCAGGAGCCGGAACCACTGAGCTAAATCCCCGGCCCTCTTGATGGCAATTCTTTTTTTTTTTTTAATGTTTTGGAGACATGGCTCAGTATGTAGTGCAGGCTGGCCTTGAACTCAGTGTGTAGCCCAAGTTGGCCTTGAACTTGCAGCAATCTTCCTGCCTTGGCCTCCCGAGTGCTGGGATGACAGGTGTGTGCTGTCACACCGAGCTCATTTCCTTCTCTTTGGGTGCAGTACTAAAGGAGAATAGTAAATGTATTTTTCTTTCTGCTCTTATGTACTCAGAACCTATGACTTTATAGTTTGCTTTATATTTTGACCACACCAGGTCTGAGTTTTTAGCTCAGGGGCACCGAGCCTGCCTCAAAAGTGCAAGGTCGTGAGTTCAATCCCCGGTACCAAAAAATAAATACATAAAAATAAAATATTTTGACCACGCCTTTCTTGTACAGCTTAGTTCTTCTTTTTCTAATGTAGCATCCTTGTTGCCATCTAGGTAGTAGTTCACAGAACACAGTATCATCATTTATTTTATTCGACCCTTAGGATCAGACTCAGGACATTTCCACTTTTTCATTCATATAAATGGTGCTATAATTAATGTCCTTTTACATAATGTCTCTGTACATTGCTTTTTTTTTTTTTAAAGACAGTGTCTCACTATGTAGTTCAGGCTGATCTTGAACTCTGGTGATCCTCCTGCCTCAGCCTCCCAAGTGCTGGAATGACAGGCGTGCGCCACCATGCCCAGCCACTGCTTCTTATGTAATGTTTGAGAGTCCTGGAATGCTGCTTTCCACCCCATCACCAGCCCCTGACACTGCCAGAGTCCAGGAAACCTGCTTCTACCTCACTGTCAGCCCCTGGCCACCTAGCGGCTTGCTGGCCACCTTCTATTAACCTGGCTGTTATAGAAGTCTATATAAGAGGTTTCTCCTGGGAGACCCAGGTCACACCCATCTTCCTACTCCCAGGCTCTAAAGAGCGGCCGATTCTCAAGTTCAGAGCGGAAAATGTCTCCAACTACACAGCCCTTCTGCTGAGCAGGGATGGCAGCACCTTGTACGTGGGCGCCCGGGAGACCCTCTTTGCACTCAACAGCAGTGCCAGCTTCCTGCCGGGTGGGCAGTACCAGCAGGTGAGCGGGTCCAGGGCTGGCCCAGCTGACAAGACAGCAGGAGGCCTGACCTTCTGGCTCCCAGGATGCGGGAGGGTGAGGAGGGCGGATTTTGGTCCCAGGCCCCAAACACTTACCTCCTCTCCTGCAGCTGCCATGGCCCGCGGATGCAGACAGGAAGCAGCAGTGCAGCTTCAAGGGCAAGGACCCGAAGGTGAGCCAGCAGTGGGGCGTCTGGACCGACAGGTTGGGCAGAGCAGGCCAGTAGAGGCAGGAGGTAGGAGTGGGCACAGCCAGGGGTGGCAGAGAGGGCACAGGCTTCTGAGATGGCCAATCTGGGTTTGAATTCCAGCCCCAGACTTAGAATCTCTAGGAGCATAGACAAGTGGATTGACCTTGCCCAGCCTTAGTGTACCCACGTGTAAGATGGGGACAAGGATGCCTGTGTCACTGGGCTTCCTCCGGATGCAGTGAGCTCATAGATTAAGGCTCCAGGCACATAAATCTCGGTAAACATCAGCTTCCAGCCTGAGTAGGGGTGGGTGGATGGGGAGCTGTGTCCCTGTGCAGATGGTCCCTGATGTCGAAAGTCTGACAGAGGCTGGGTTGGTTTGGCTGGAGTCTGGCCTGGCCCAGGGTTCCCCTGGGGGATGCCCACTATCTCCAGAGGATTCCTGCCCTGAAGGTGGCAGCCAGGACACCACACTTGGGGTTAGGACGCAAGTTCAAGTCCTGGCTGTCCCTGACTAGTTGTACCTGTATTCAGCAAACATTTATTAAACACTTGGTCTACTTTTTCTTTTTTGTGGTACTAGGGATCAAAGCCAGGGCCTTGCCCATGCCAGGCAGGTGTGTTACCACCAAGCTATGTTCCAGCATCAACTAAGTACTCATTCTATGGCCCTCTGCTTTAGGCAGTGAAGATGTGATTGTGACAAAGAGAAAACAGCCAAGCCACGTGTGGTGGTACATACCTGTAATCCTAGCACTCAGGGAACCTGAGGCAGGAAGATCGCAAGTTCAAGCCCAGCCTGGGCAACTTAGGTGAAACCCTGTCTCAGAAGATAAAAAAAGACTGAAGATGTAGCTCAATCCAAAGGCCTTGGCCTCAACATCTAGTACACAAAAAACCCCAAACAAATACAGCAAAAAATCAATTTAAAAGGTGGTTGAGGCAGAAAGACCACAAGTTCTAGCCCAGCCTGAGGTACATGGTGAGACCCTGTCTCAAAAAAAAAAAAAAAAAAAAAAAGGGTTCAGGTTATACCTAATTTAAAAAGAGACATTTGAGCCTGACATGGCCAAGGGCTTGGGTTTGATCCCAAGTACCACAAAAAAGCAAAAGCAAAGACATTTGAGCCAAGCTTGAGAAGATGAGGGAGTTGACCGGCACATAAGTGGGAAAGGACAGGACTCTGGGCTCCACTCTGTGGCTGAGCAGAGAAGTGACGTGGTCCCCCTGTGCTTTAAAAGGGCTACTTTGCCCGCATGCTAGAGTAGCCTCCTTGGGACAGGACAGGAGGAGGCCGGTGGGGGGGCGATAGGTTACCATGGCCTGTTCCAGGGGTCTTAAAGGCAGGGAGAAGTGCTCGGATTCCAGACGTGTTTGAGGATGGAGCCACTAGGAGTTCTGGGTGGAAAACTGGGATTTGAACAGTTCCAGTCCTAGTGCCTCAGCCACTGAGATGGAGCTGCCAGCAGGCAGGTGGAAAGGTCTCAGGAGGGCAGCTGGGGAGTGGTCAGCACTGGGCCAGACATGCCTGTCCCAGGTGTTGTGTACCTGGGGCTCAGGGTTCAGGCTAGGTGTTTCCTCCTGCCCTGGGGTGTGCCTTCCTCTCTAGTTGGTTGGGAGGGACCTTTGGTCTCCACTGAGCCTCTAAAAGGTCCTTGCGGGGCGGAGAGAGACCAAGAGGGTGCCTCTTCCCCCCTTGGGCACCCCTCACCTGCCAGGTGGAAGGGACCACTGCCAGCCCCAGAGTAGCTTCAGCCCAAGGCCCCCTGCAGTGCACTTACTTCGCCCGCCCCTCTGCAGGAAGCTCCTGCCCCCTCATTTGTTCCCAGATTTGAGTGCCCCAGCCCAAGGTCCCCAGAGCAGCCGCCCTGCCCCTAGACCTGGCCCAGGGTCTGGGGAGGAAGAGGGCTGGGCCTTCACTCTCTCTTCTTTCCCTAGCGTGACTGTCAGAACTACATCAAGATCTTGCTGCCACTCAACAGCAGCCACCTGTTCACCTGTGGCACAGCAGCCTTCAGCCCCCTGTGTACCTATATTGTGAGTGCTCTCAGCCCTGGGCCCTTCCTCCCACCCTGGGGACTATTCTCTGGCACTGGTGGGAGGCTTGCTTAGAGAGCCCTGAGGCATGGGACCCTGTACCTGCCTCCCGCCTGCCAGCATCTGTCCCCTGCCTGCCAGCATCTGTCCCCTGCCTTTGCTCAGTCACCTCGCATGCCACTCTGGGCACACACCCCAGCCTTCTCCTCTAGCAGAGGGCAGCCTTAGGGGCCAGGCATGGATCCTCAGCTTTAGAGCTGGAAATACCTGGTTTGGCTTGTTCTAATCACTTCCTGATCCTCACCTCCTGTCTGGTAAATGGGGCCGACAATGTCCACTGCAGACCAGGCAGCACTGAGCTGGTGCTGGGTGAGGAGCACGGCCTTTCTGACACCTGTGCCCTTCTGTCCCATGCCCTACTCCTGCCCCTGGTCTCTGTTGGCTGCCTCCTCTCCTTCGCCTCCTCCTCTGGCCCTCGTGAGCCTCCCTGTCTGTCACCCAGCAGAGTGTGGAGAACTTCACCCTGGCACAGGACCAGACAGGGAATGTCCTCCTGGAAGATGGCAAGGGCCGTTGTCCCTTTGACCCCAATTTCAAGTCCACAGCCCTGGTGGTTGGTGAGTGTCAGGGCCGGTCCCAGGCCTGAGCCGCCGGTCTTGCAGGGCAGATTCCCAGGGTGACAGCATGACCGTGGGCTGCCCCTGGGTTTAACGTTTCCAAGTTCCTGCTTCCACTCCTGCCCACTGTAGGCAGGATGGATGGTGCTGGGGTCACTCTGGGCCCCCGGCTGGGAGAAGGGGCCAGGCCAGGGCAGCCATTCCCATGGGAACATTTTCTTGGCAGATGGGGAGCTCTACACAGGAACAGTCAGCAGCTTCCAGGGGAACGACCCAGCCATTTCCCGCAGCCATAGTCTGCGCCCCACCAAGACGGAGAGCTCCCTCAACTGGCTGCAAGGTGAAGTTCTGCCCTGCCAGTGGGAAGTCACTGCCCCTGGAGGGAACATTCCCCAGGGTTCCTCTGCTGACTCTGTGCTCCCCTCCGGCCCCCACAGATCCTGCCTTTGTGGCCTCGGCCTACATTCCCGAGAGGCTGGGCAGTTCCCATGGTGATGATGACAAGATCTACTTCTTCTTCAGCGAGACTGGCCAGGAGTTCGAGTTCTTTGAGAACACCATCGTGTCTCGAGTTGCCCGAATCTGCAAGGTGAGTGTTCAGGACCTGCAGGTAAGGGACCTCTGGTCTTGCTTATGTCCCTGAGAAACAGCTGGGCCAATGGCCAGCCTTGCTCTCCTTTTAAATGGAAAGGTCTCTTACTGGTATTTTTTTTGAAAAGTATGAAAATATAGAAAGGTTCACACAGGAATATCTTGCAAGATACAGAGGTAGTGTAGCATTGAGCTTAAGGGTAGAGACTGTGGAGAATTGAGTCCCAGGATCCTGGGGTCTTGGGCAGGGCCTCACCCTCAGGGTGAAACTGCTCCTTCCTCTGTTAGATGGAAATAACAACGCCAACCTTAGAATTACTTTGTGGCTTGAATTCACCCCTGGAAAGCTCTGAGGAGTGTGGAAGTCCCTGATTAAACATGGACTATAAGTGTTGTGACCCTGCCAAGTCCATAAGAAGGGACCACTGATGGCCGGGGATTTAGCTCAGTGGTTCCGCTACCTGCCTCACTAGTGCAAGGACCCGAGTTCGATCCCTGGTACCAAAAAAAAAAAAAAGAGATCACTGAGTTGGGCTGGGCCTCCCAGAGTTCCTAGATTACAGGTGTGAGGTGTGTACCACCATGGTCGGCTCTCCTGGAAGTTTTCTTGACTTTAGATGGAACTGTGTCCTGGCTCTGACTTCTTCATTCCTGGTGTCTTGTCAGTGAACACTGGAAGGGAACATTGGGGCTGCATCATGCCTGCGGTCCCAGCCCCGCCTGTGCCTCACCTGACCTGTCCTCCCCTCCCCCAGGGTGATGAGGGTGGTGAGCGGGTGCTGCAGCAGCGCTGGACGTCCTTCCTCAAGGCCCAGCTGCTGTGCTCTCGGCCTGACGACGGCTTCCCATTCAACGTGCTGCAGGATGTCTTCACGATGAGTCCCAGTCCCCAGGACTGGCGTCAAACCCTGTTCTATGGGGTCTTCACTTCCCAGTGGTAGGGCCCAGACCTGGCTGGGTACAGGAGGGCAGAGGATGGCCGGGGCTGGGCCCAGGAGCCTGCCTGGGGTCTGGGTTGATCTGCAGTCTGTGTTGCAGGAATGGGGGGACTACTGAGGGCTCTGCCGTGTGTGTCTTCTCCATCAACGATGTGCAGAGGGCCTTCAGTGGCCTGTACAAGGAGGTGAACCGCGAGACACAGCAGTGGTACACAGTGACCCACCCAGTGCCCACACCCCGGCCTGGATCGGTGGGTGTCAGTGCCTGGTACTCAGGGCATGGTTGGGAGGACTTGGGGCCCTGCACCATACTGGGGCCACTGGTGTTGAGCCCCAGACAGATCACGCAGCTTTTCTGGATGTTTTCGAATCTTTAAATTGGGACATGCCCAGGCCTGCTGGTGAGATGTGATGTGGACGCTGAGATGTCTTCAGTCCTATCCTGCCTCGGGCTGGGCACGAGCTCCCATCGGGGCTCTTGGTGCACATCGTCCCTTTGCTTGGTCCCTTCTTCCACTCCGCTGTGAGCTCCTTAGTTAGCAGGTCACAGGTGACCAGACCATGTCTTCTTTCCTGCTGGCTCAGTGGGCTCCCCCAGAAGCAGACCCCCCAGATGATCTGAGTGCCCATAGTTAACTTGGGAGGTGACCTTGGAAGCAGTGACAGAATAGGCAGGGTGCGAGGGAGGGAGGAAAGCCAGGAAAGTTGTGTGCACGAGCCATTACCTCTGTGGCAGCAGGAACTGGGCCCAGAGACAAACCCCAGCTCAGAGCAGCCAGCTGGAGTCGTCACCACACCACCTCCTATGTGTCACTGGTTGAAAGTCCCCCAGTGTGTCAATCCTCACAAGCAGAGAGCATCAGTCAGCCAGGCCTCTCCTGCCATCTCAGAACCATGCTCAGCTGGGGCTTGCTCAGAGCTAGGGCAGAAGCAAAAGGAAAGGTGCTGGGGAGGAAGAAGAAGGGCACGTATCTGAGGCCCAGGAGTGAACGAGGTTTCCCCACACCTCAGCCTTGCCCTTGGCTGTCAGCCCAGCACACATTGGCAAATCTGCAGGTGATTTGCCACTGGGGAGACAGGGCCCCTCTGTTCTGGCTCACACTGCTGTCTTCTTCCCCAGTGCATCACCAACAGTGCCCGGGAGCGGAAGATCCACTCCTCCCTGCAGCTCCCAGACCGCGTGCTGAACTTCCTCAAGGATCACTTCCTGATGGACGGGCAGGTGCGCAGCCAGATGCTGCTGTTGCAGCCTCGAGCCCGCTACCAACGCGTGGCTGTGCACCGAGTCCCTGTCCTGGACCGCACCTACGACGTCCTCTTCCTGGGCACTGGTGAGCTGACCTGGCAGGTTGGGACAGGCATGTGGCTGGTGGGTGCCAGCAGCAGGTGGTGAGCAGGGCCTGAGATGCATCCCTCCCTAGGTGATGGCCGACTGCACAAGGCAGTGGACATTGGGCCCAGGATGCACATCATCGAGGAGCTGCAGGTCTTCCCACCGGAACAGCCTGTGCAGAACCTACTTCTGGACAGCCATAGGGTGAGCACACAGGGAGGAACCAAGGCCACATGCTTGGGGGTGGCCCTCCCTGCCTGGCTTTTCCTCTCCTGCCCCAGCAAGGTGCATTATGGAATCTAGTCTTCTGGCATGGACATGGGAAGTTGGGGTGCCAGATGATGACAGTCCACTTAGGGGTGGCTTTAGTGGGCCTGTGAGCCCAGTGTGGCCATGGGTGGTGGCCCTGGGTGCCCAAACCGGCCTCTCATCCCTGGGGTTTGGCTGTGCAGGGGCTGCTGTATGTGGCATCCCACTCTGGCATAGTCCAGGTGCCCGTGGCCAACTGCAGCCTGTACCGGAGCTGTGGGGACTGCGTCCTTGCCCGCGACCCCTACTGTGCTTGGAGTGGCTCCAGCTGCAGCCACATCAGCGTCTACCAGCCTGAGCTGGCCTCCAGGTAAGAGCTCCCAAAAGCCATCTGGCCCATCACCTCTGCGTACCTGGCCTCAAGCCCCTGCCCCAGGTCTGTCTAGGCCCAGCACAGGGTCTCATTTACACCCAGTCTCAGCATGAGTGTTCATGGTTGCCCCAAGGGCCTCCCCCATTCCTTTTAGATAGTCCATGTTTGCCTTCCCTGCCTGAAGGAGGGACAGGATCAGTAGGGTATAAAATGTCACAGCTGTGAAAAGCTTAGTAGGAGAATGTTGGTTGGCATGTGAACTTGTTTTAGTAACAGTAAGGTAAGGGCTAAAAAAAATTTTGTTAAGCTAGGAATGGTACCATACACCTGGGATCCCAGCACTCTGGGAGGCTGAGGCAGGACGATCACAAGTTCCAAGTCCAGCCTGGAGAATTTAGCAACACCCTACCTAAAAAGTTTAAAAATTTAAAAAGGACAGGTAGCCAGGTGTGGTGGTGAACATCTGTGACCCCAGCACTTAAGAGGCTGAGGCAGGAGAATCTCCATGAGTTCCAGGCCAACCTGAGCTACATAGTGAGTTCAAGGCCAGCCTGAACTACATAGTGAGACCCTGTCACCAAAAAAAAAGAAAAAAAGAAAAACTAAAGGGCTGGGGATGTAGCTAAGTGTGAAGACCCTGGGTTCAATTCCCAGTACCAATACAAAATTTAAAAAATAACATTTGGGGGCCGGGGATTTAGCTCAGTGGTTCCGCCGCCTGCCTCGAAAGCAGAAGGACCCGAATTCAACCCCTGTTTCCAAAAAAAAAAAAAAAAACCATTTGGGAGTTGGATATACTTGTAATCCTAGCACTCCAGGGGCAGAAGCAGAAAGATGAAGAGTTTAAGGTTATCCTAAATTATACAGGGAGATTCAGTTTGAGAACAAAAACAAACCAACCAAGCAAACAAACAAAACATTTGGATTATAAAACGACCTTTTAGAAAATAGCACTGTGCTGGGCGTGGTGGCGCATGCCTGTAATCCCCGTGGGAGGCTGAGGCAGGAGGAGTGCCATGAGTTCGAGGCTAGCCTGAACTACATAGTGAGACCCTGTCTCAAAAAAAAAAAAAAAGAAAGAAAATAGGAATGAGTATAAATAAAATAAAAACTACCTAGGGACTGAGGATATAGCTCAGCATATGCAAAAAATAAAACCCTAACAATCAAACAAAAACTGCTCCCTCCCAGGGCAATCAAAGATTTTTGATTTTCTGTCCTCCCTGATTTTTCTTACATAAGTGTAAAGTAAACAAAAATCTAAATGTTTTAAACAAGATCTATCCCATTTGTGGTGGGGTTTTTTTGTTTTTTGTTTTTTTTTTTTTGGTACCGGGGATCAAACTTGGGTCCTTTCGCTTGCGCAGCAGGTGGTGAAACCACCAAGCTAAATCCCCAGCCCTGTTTTGTTTTTTTATAGAAAAAAGAACACAAATTTATTACATGCCTAAGGACTGGGAATATTAGATTACCTGTTTGTAGTGTTCTTGCTTCATATATAGGTACATCTGGTATCTGTTTTATATTTCAAAAAACTAAATAGGAGCTGGGCTGGTTAAATCCCTGCTACTGGGGAGGTTGAGACAGGAGGATCATAAATTCAAGGCCAGCCTCGAAAATTTAGTGAGAGCTTGTCTCAAAATTTAAAGTAATGATTTTTTTTAAAAAAGACTAGGAATGTAGAATGAAGCTCATTGGTAGATGCTCCTGGTTAATCTCCGCCACTGAAAAAAGTTTATGAAGCAGGTCAGTGCTTGTGTATTACTGAGAGATATTTACATGCATGTCCAGAAAGTCCTTGCAGCCATCCTGAGGCACATTCTGCTTTTGTCATCCAGGGAAACAGGCTGTAACTTTTATTTGCACTGAGGTACAGATGGGAAATGCTCACTGAGGCCCAGTGGGCTGGGGAATCAGCTCAGGAGTCTCCTCCCTACCCATTGCTTGGGGCCTGGTGTTCCTTGGGCTCTGGTCCCTTGCCCAGGCCTGAGTCTGCGTTGAGGGTGAAGGACACAGGCTCAGTGTTTTCTGGCTGATCCCAGACCCTCTCTGGTCCTCAGGCCATGGATCCAGGATGTCGAAGGGGGCAATGCCAAGGAGCTCTGCAACATGTCCAGGTCCAGGCCCCGGGCTTCTGTAACAGCAGGTAAGGGACCCCTTGAAGGCTGCAGGAGAGAGGTAGGGGCCCCATCTTCTGGACAACTCCTCCAGGCACTGACGGGACAAATGCCTTTCCTCCTCCTCCCTTCAGCCCTGCAAGCAGGGCCCTGCAAAGTGAGCCTGAGATAGTCCTAGGAGTTCCCAGTGCCCCTCACAACTGGGAGGGAGGGGTCAGCCTGTGGCCACTGTAGACTATGGCACCCTCCACCCAGTGCCTCTTCTGCTTGCAGACCGGAAGTCCTGTGAGCACATCCAGTTCCAGCCCAACACAGTAAACACCTTGGCCTGCCCACTTCTGTCCAACCTGGCCACCCGGCTCTGGCTCCATGACAAGGCCCCTGTCAATGCCTCATCATCCTACCGGGTACTGCCCACTGGGGACTTGCTGCTGGTGGGCACCCAGGAAAGGCTGGGGGTCTTTGAGTGCTGGTCACAAGAGGAGGGCTTCCAGCAGCTGGTGACCAGCTACTGCCCAGAAGTGGTGGACGACGGGATGGCACACCGAACAGACCGGGGTGGCAGTGTCCCTGTCATCATCAACACGTCAAGGGTGAGTGCGCCAGCTGCCGGCAGGTCCAGCTGGGGTGTGGACAAGTCCTACTGGAATGAGTTCCTGGTGATGTGCACCCTCTTTGGGCTTGCTGTGGTGCTTCTGTTTCTGTTCTTCCTCTACCGGCACCGAGACGGCATGAAAGTCTTCCTGAAGCAGGGTGAGTGTGCCACTGTGCATCCCAAGACTCGCCCTGTGGTGCTGCCACCCGAGACCCGACCGCTCAACGGCGTTGGCCCCCCTAGCACCCCACTGGATCACCGAGGCTACCAGGCTCTGTCAGATAGCTCCCCGGGGCCCCAGGTCTTCACCGAGTCCGAGAAGAGGCCACTCAGCATCCAGGACAGTTTTGTCGAGGTGTCCCCTGTGTGCCCTCGGCCCCGGGTCCGCCTGGGCTCTGAAATCCGTGACTCTGTGGTGTGATGAGGCTACCCTGGCTTCAGGGCTGTGACTGCTTAGAGGGTGTGTCCTGGACCCCGAGCCTCATGAGCACAGCCAGGGTCCTGCCCTCGGGAGCCTGGGGCCTGCCCAGCCTGCTGCTTTCCAGCCCTGCATAAGGCCCCTAGTGCCCAGCCAGGTGCCCCAATGGTTCTCAACCGAGAGGGGTCTGTCCTCCAGGGCCAGGGGCCTGCCTGGGTGGATAGGACAGTGCTCCTACAAACACTGAGCCCTTTGTTTAAAAAACAGCTGAAAATGTGAAACCGGGGGCACGGGAGACGTCAGAGATGCCACACCCACAGCCACCCAGTTCCCTTCTGCCTGAACAGCTGGGGACACACCCCAAGTGGTGTGGTGTGGTGTGGGACAGAATTGAAAATCCCGCGCCAACTGGACTCTTCCACCTTCGCCTTAGCCCCGCCCCACTGTGCTTTCTCACCAGAGCTGGTGGCCAGTTCACACCAGCCAGCCAGATGTAGCTTGGCGCCATGACCTGCACCTCAGGGACCAGAGGGCTGGCTGGCTCTGCAGCCATCCCCAAACCCTGGGCTCAGACCCTGCTCCTGGACCTTTCCGGCCTGTATCAGGCTGTGGCCACAAAGGAATAGCATGAGCCCAGGAGTGTATGACCACATAGGCCTTTCCCCTCAGGAAGAGACTTGACTGCCTGCCTCCCAGCCTGAAAACCGTCTGTCCCTTGCACCATGTCAGCCCCTCTTCAAACTTGAGCACAGGGAACTCACTGGAGCCTGGCTTCTCCCTGGCCCAGTTTCCCCTCGCTTGTCTCCACTCTAAGGGATATTCACACTGCCCAGAACAGGGCCCTGAATTCTGTGGGTTTTATATATATTTTTAATAAAATGCACTTTACCTTCTTTTTTTTAAATAAAATCTGAAGAATTATTATTTAATCATCACCCTTCTTAAAGGACTTCTACTGTTTAAGACTGATCTGTTGCTGGGGGTTCTGAACCTCCTCTTTCCAGGCCTCAGGGAGCTGGAAGCAGCCCAGCCTGTGCCCAGTGGACCGTAGTTCTATGACAACCCCTTTATTCTATGCTTACTTTTTTTGTGGAGATTGAACACAGGGGCCTGATGCATGCTAGGCAAGTATCCTACCAAAATTTTTTGGGTTTTTTTTTTTTTTTTTTTTTTTTTTTTTTTTTTTTTTTTTTTTTTGGTTTTTTGTTTGTTTGTTTTTGGTACTGGGGATCAAACTCGGGTCCTTGTGCTTGCGAGGCAGGCAACAGAACCACTGAGCTAAATCCCCAGCCCAAAATTTTTTGTTTTTATAAAACAACATCTCACTATGTAGTTCAGGCTACTCTTGAACTCACAGCAATCCTGCCTCAGGCTTCTGAACCCTGGGATTATAGGCGTGTATGTACCACCATGCTCAGCAAGAACCTTTTTTTTTTTTTTAACTTTGCAGTTTTTAATTTTTCAAGTGATTATTTGGCAAGACTGACTTTCTTTTGTTAGTGTACCTTTAAATTTTAACACATTGCTGGACATGGGGGTAGGTGCCTGTGGTCCCAGGTACTCAGGAGGCTGAGGTGTGGGGAACAGTTGGGCCCAGGAGTTTGGGATCATTCCAGGCATAGACCCTTGTCTCAAAAAAGAAAAAACACAGAAAATGTACAAATTCATGGAACCAGTACTATAATCAAGATCAGGGAGAATTCCCCCAATTTGGTGGGCTGGGGTGGGAAGTATAGCTTGATTTCCCACTGGCCCCTTATTCCTAGCAAAATAAAAGGTTTCTGGGCCAGGGATTTAGCTCAGTGCTTCTGCTGCCTGCCTCGAAAGTGCAAAGCCCCGAGTTTGATCCCCAGTACCAATCAATCACATACATACATACATACATACATACATACATACATACATACATAAATAAATAGTTTCTAGAAGCCCAGTCTTTCCCTCCCAGTGTTTCTAATGTCACACGCAGGGGTCAGAACTTCTAAATCTTTATTACTGATCAGTAGAAACGGAGATGAGATAGCAGTGAGAAGCAGGAAGGGCCCTCCCTGCCCCAGCCGAGGGTTGCACAGTACCAGCTCCAGGCTGGGCCAGCTTGGCTGGCCCCGACATCGTGGGCATGACCTTGGCCACAGCTCTGCAGTAGGAAGGTCTTGGACAGGGTGTGCTGAGATACACGATGGAGCTGCAGTCACAGGACAATCTTAAAGGAGCTGCACAAGAAAAGAATGGGTTGGATTTTCTTTTCCCTTTTCTTTTTCCTTTTTGATTTTTGTTTGCTTGCTTTTTGGTGCTGGGGACAGATCCAGATTCTAGGCCCTCACCCACACTAAGCGTGCTCTATACCACTGAGCCACACCCCCAGCCCAAGTTAGGTATTCTGATGGAAGAGAAAGGAAGGAACTAAACCTAAACTTCTCACCTCTCCCTGAAGACCTTTCTTTGGAATGGGCTATGTCTGGGTATGTTGGTCCCTACAGTGACCTGAGACATTCAGAGGGCCCAGAGCTCTCTTTTGCCTCAGTACCATCTCCCATAATAGCATCCCAGACCCAGAGGCAGCACATGAGAACCCGTGGGTACCCAGAAGGCAGGGGACCACTGTCATACCTGACAAAGTCTGGTGAACGTGAGATGACATGCTGGAACTCGGAGAGATTGATGGTCCCATCCCTGTCGATGTCAGACTCTTCCAGAATCTGGGAACAGGGAACTTCTAGGCTAGAGCCCCAGCCCTTCCCTCCCGTGCCCAGGTTGCCCAGGCCCAGCCGGGCCACCACTCACATTGTCAATAAGCTGCTTCATCTCCGATGCACTGAGCCGAGTGTCCTCGCCCTCTCCCGTGAGACAGTTCACAAGCCGGCACAGGTCTTCTCTGTCCAGAGTTCCATCATCATCAAAGTCTAGTGAGCACACACAGAAAGCCAAGAAGGAAGTGCAGTCAGGAAAAGCTCTGCGGCTGCACCAGGGGCTTCCACTTCCCAAGCAGGGCCACCATGAAGGCTGTGTGGATGTGGCAGGCAACCAACCCCTCGGGGCTCTTACCAAAGATTCGGAAGGCATAGTGGGACTTGATGTCTGGGGTTGCCATGTCACTGAACACACTCAGGAGGTCCAGGAAGTCCTCGAAGCTCAGGCTGTCTCTGGCAGGGGATGTGGAAAAGACCTTGCAGATTCGCTCCTTGAAGGGGTTGGCCTGGGAATGAGCCTTTTGTAAGTGCTACAGACAGCCCAGGTCACACACTCACCACAACCCTACTAGAACCTGGAGGAATAGGTTGCAGTACCAGCACCGTGGAGCTCAGAAGACAACTAGCAGCTGGGGAAGGGGTGGGATGGCTTCCTGGGAGTCCAGCTCAAAAGCATAAGCAACATAACGGGGAGGGCAGGATGGGGTAGGCAGCCAACGCCAGGGGACAAGATGGGCAGGTTATTTTATTTATTTATTTTTGTTCCTTTGTTTTTTGAGACAGCGACTTGCTGTGTAGTTCAGGCTAGACTTGAACTCACTATGCGGCCCATGCTGGCCTTGAACTCATGGCAATCCTGCCTCAGCCTCCCACCTGCTGGGATTACAGGCATGCACCACTATGCCTGGGTTATTTATTTTTGAGACAGGGTCTCACTATGTCTTCCTGGCTGGCCTTGAACTCACGATGTAACCCAGAAAGAAAAGGAAAGAAAAAGGAAAGAGAAGGCCGGAGATTTAGTTCAGTGGTTCTGCTGCCTGCCTCCCAAGGGCAAGGTCCCGAGTTTGATCCCCAAAGAAAAAGGAAAGAGAGGGTTGGAAATTTAGCTCAGTGGCACCTTGCCTGCCGTGCCAGTGCCAGGTCCTGAGTTCAATCCCTGGTACCGGGGGAAAAAAAGGAAAGAAAAGAAAAGAACAAATGAAAGAGAAGGGAAGAGAAAAGCAATTAGAATGGAAAGCAGGGACCCATGATCTGCATTGAGTGGCAGGAAGACTAAAGGATCTAGCAAAGCAAGGTGCACAAAGAGTGCAGAGAGTGCAGGGCTTGCACCTTGAGCTCTGGAAGGCTGAGGATATCCTCGAAAGACACTCGTTCCCGCAGCGAGTCCTCGACGCTCTGTTTCTCCCGAGGAAGCAGCTCAGAAAACCGCCTATGGGCTCTAGCAGAGAGAGAGAGAGAGGGGAAGTTGCCAGTGCTCTCCTCTCAGGTCTCCGTGTGTGCGCTACATCCCCACTCCTCGCCTTGCTGCCCCTTATAAACCAGGTGGGAGCTAAGCCACACACACAGAACTTCTGAGTCACTGGGCAACGGTCAGCCGAGGGGAGATAAGACACAGGCTGGGAGCCCTCTCTTGTGATGAGTCTTTGCTGAGGGCCTACTGTGTGTCAGGCTCGTTCCAGAGATCTCTGCGGGATGGAGAGGTTCCGGAGGGAGCAAAAAGCTGGCCACTAACGCCAGGGAGAAAAGAGCAAAACCACATCCCCATTCTCCCTTTCCCTGCCGGGATTCCTGGCCTGAACTATATCCTCCTCCTCAATCTTTATCCCTTTCCTAATGGAACAGCCTTTGCCCAGCGAAGCCCAGGAATCTCCTTCTCCAGACCCGTGGCCCATAGCAGTCCTCTTCCTCACAGGGCAGTCGTGGGCAAGTCACCCAACCCCTCAGAACCTCCTTCTTGTCCTGACCTCCCTCCTCAAGACCGAATTAGGTAAAGCAGGCAACCCCCTTGGCACAGCTGCTGGCGCGCTAAGTGCTCCACAAGCGTTAACGATTACTGTATTATTCAGGTAAAGTCGGAGAAAGGTAGCGCCAGGCTCCCTAGGCGTCTCTGGTTTTGCCAGGGGGCAAAGTCGTCTGAGAGCAGGGGCAGGGCTGCCGGCCCGGGAAGGAAGTTGTCAGGGGCAGGCGCCAGGAGGGTGCAGGGTCAAACAGCGCCCAACTTCTTCTGGATCCTGAAGGGTGGCCTCCAGTTACGGCTCTACCGCTCTCGGGGTGCCAGCGCCCCCGAATCCGCCTCAGGGGACCCCGAGGGCGCCTCAGAAGTGGGATTCGGGATTGCACTCACTGGACGATCTCTTGCTTGGTCAGAAACGTCAAGTCCTGGAAGGCAAAGCCAGAGAACGGCGGTCAGCGGCGTGCCGCCGCCGCCGCGCCCGGACCCCGCTTCCGGGCGCAGCCGGCGCGCGAGGCTCCGAGGACGGCGTCCCGCGCACCTGGTACTCGGCCAGCAGCTCCTTGGACAGGCGACTGCCCGATCCCCCCATCGTTGCCCCGCGCACAGATCCTCCGCCTCTCCTCGGGACGCCGGCAACTTTCCCACTTCCGCTCTCGGGCCGCGTCCCCGCGCCGTCCCCGCCCCGTCCCCACGGCAACCACTGCTGAGGTCCCCGGCCCGACCCTTGGCGCAGCGCCCTGGCACCCCCACGCAGTTTGGTCTCGAAGCTCCGAGATCCCGCCTTACCGGGAGAGCTGGGGGCGGGTCAGGGGCTGGGGGGAGGGCCGGCCGCTCGGGGACGGGGGGGCGGGGAAATCTCAAGGCCTGCCTCCTGTGGGCGGGGCCGGCGGCGCGCGTGGTGCAGACTGCGCCTGCGCTAAAGGGCATAGCTGTAAAACTATGGACCAGTTGGCTGCAGCCGAGCTGACAGTTGCGAGATGCGTCCGCCTTACCTGCGGTAGGTATTGGTGGCTGCAGCCTTGGGCGGGAACCCGTAAAGAGCAACTAGGAAGTTAATACAGAGTATCCGGGAAGCCTCGGGACTTGCTGGGTGGTGGAGACTGTAGGCTGCCATCTGCCCAGAGAGGGTTTATCCTGACTTTACCACGCGGCGCTGGTTACAGCTCCAGGCCCGCGCCTCTCCTGGAGTAATCGTACCCTGCTGCCCCTAAGTCTGGTGACGAGGACCCACGGGTGTCAGGCGCTGTGCTTAGCTCTCTTCTATTCTTGCAACTGCCCGACAAGGTAGGTGCCCAGTTTGCAAAGTACGCAAGTCCAGAGGGTTTCAATGACTTGTCAGGCTCAGGCCTGTAGAGGGGGGTCCCTACTCCAAGGCTCCCCACCCTGCCTGGCTCTCTTATTACAGCTGGCACGCCCTGAAGGTCCCACCTAGGCCCACACTGTGCTCGCGGCTGGCTGCAGAGACCATCTCTTGCTCCTGTCCCCTCTCAACCCAAGGACAGTTCTTGCCACGAAGGTGCTCAGTAAATATTTATCGGATATGCATGCATGCATGAATGAACCTGTACTATGCCTGGGAGGAGAAACCAAAGTTAGGACTTTTTTTTTGAGACAGGGTCTCACTTTGTAGTCGAGGCTGGCCTTGAACTCACTATATAGCCCAGGCTAGCACTGAACTCCCAGCAATCCTCCTGCCTCAGCCTCCCTAGTGTGGCATTACAAGTGTGTACCACCATGTCAGGCTCAGCAGGAACTCACTAGGTAGTTCAGGTTGGCCTCAAACTTCTGATCCTCCTGCCTCAGCCTACCAAGTAGTGGGGTTACAGGTGTGGGCCACTATGCCTGGCTGGCAGGATTTATTCTTTTGGTTTTTGTTTTGTTTTTGGTACCGGGGATCGAACTCGGGACCTTTCACTTTCGAGGCAGGTGGCAGAAAGGATTTATTCTTAATTCTGCCAATTCAAACTTCTTGCCTGTCGATCAATTTATTTATTTATTTTATTTAGCAGTACTGTGGTTGAACCTGCTTAGCCATGAATTTGAGGCCAGCCTCAGCTACATAGTGAGTTCAAGGCCAGCCTGAACTGCATAGCAAGACCCTGTCTAAAAAAAAGATTTAAAAAATTAAAAAGTGTGCAAAGATTAATTTGCAGGATGTTTGTTGTAACATTTGAACTACAACCTACTTTTTTTTTGAGACAGGGTTTCTCTGTGATCCTCCTGCCTCAGCCTCCCAAGTGCTGGGATTACAGGCATGCACCACCACATACAACCTACTTTTATATGTACAAAGATTGGAGGATGGCTTAAAAAGTGAAGATGTAGAGGCTCAGTATAACGCAGTTGCCTAGCATTAACTAGGACTTGGGTTCAGTCCCTGTTACCAGAAGAAAACAAAGCACTGGGCATGGTGGTGCATGCCTGTAATCCCAGTGCTCAGGAGGCTGAGGCCAGCCTGGACTACATAGTGAGTTCAAGGCCAGCCTGATTTTGTCTCAAAAAACCAAAAACAATGACAAAAAACCCCAAAACAAATCATATACATTATGAAAATGAGGCTAAATGCAAATGAGTTTTTCCCTGGGCATTGGGATAAGGCTTGTATTTTATCTTTATTTTTTATTTACTTTCTCTATATGTATATACGTGTATTTAATATATAAATGTATACACATATATATGTGTGTGTATATATACTTTTTTCTTCTTGTTTTACAGTGCTGGAACCAAGCCCAGAGTCTTGCACATGCTAGGCAGGTACACTGACACTAAGCTACACCCCTCAGCCTCTAAACTGTGTACTTCCTTCTAGTTTTGTATTTTTTTTGGTGGTGCCCAGTATCAAACCTAGGGCCTTGCACATGCTAGGCTAGCACTCTACCACTGAGCTCCATCCGCAGCCCCTAAATAATTTTTTTTTTGGTACTGGGGATCGAACTCAAGACCTTGTGCTTGTGAGGCAGGCATGGTGGCACTGAGCTAAATCCCGGCCCTCAATAAATATTTTTAATTCAGCAAAAACATTTACTCATCTGCAGGCGACGGAATTACAAGTAATTTCTTTGCTTCCTAAATATTTTACTGAAAGTGTGTATTATATATTACTTTTGTAATTAGAGAAAAAAATAAGGATTATTTGAGAATGAACATCTCTAAAAATGGGTTACTATCCTGTTTTTCATCTTTTATGACAGCTTCAGAGCAGCTCCATGGCTAATCTGTGTGACTCACATGCAACTTCCTACTTGCTGTCCTCCAACAGTGAGGACTGGGGAGAGCAAGGCAGCCCTGCCTTCAAGTATGGGCAGAAGGACCTCATCGTGGGAGGGGTCCAGTGGCCCAGCCACGCACCCAATGCCCTGGATTCTCTGCCACTGTCCCGGTTCGACTCTGCACTCTCCTCTGCCTGGAGGCAGCGGATGGAGCTGGGTTTCTTTCGCTACCACCTCGGGGAACTGCAGACCCAAGTCCTCCCTGGTGCTGTGGGTTTTGTGGCTCAGCTGAATGTGGAGCGAGGTGTGCAGAGGAGGTGCCCACAGAACATCAAGAGCGTGAGGCAGACATTTGACCCGGAACAGTTTAACTTCAACAAGATCAGGCCTGGAGAAGTACTCTTCCATCTGTACCGGGAGCCTGACACACAAGGTGACCTCCTCCAGGAGGACATCCTGGTGGTGATCAACGTCAGCCCACTGGAGTGGGGGCATGTGCTGTTGGTGCCCGAGCCTGCCCGGGGGCTGCCCCAGCGCCTGCTGCCAGGTGTGCTACGGGCTGGCCTGGAGGCTGTGCTGCTGAGCTTGAACCCTGGCTTCCGGGTGGGCTTCAACAGCCTGGGGGGCTTGGCCTCAGTGAACCATCTCCATCTGCATGGCTATTACCTGGCCCACAGGCTGCCTGTGGAGGGGGCACCCAGCCAGCCCCTGGACCCAGGGGGCCATTTGCACCTGCTCCAGACCCTGCCAGTTCCTGCCTTCCTCTTTTACACCAGCAGGCCTGGGTCTGACTTGGAAGCCGTGATTAGCAGGGTCTGTCGGGCCACAGACTATCTGGCTGACCACGAGATTGCACATAACTTGTTTGTGACACGGGGAGCCCCGCCTGGAAAGGCATCACCCTGCTTAGCCCTCGAAGGAGTCCGAGTGATCCTGTGGGCCCGGAAGTCCAGCTTTGGAATAAAGGAGGGTAAGGCTTTCAATGTTGCCCTCTGTGAGCTGGCTGGGCACCTCCCTGTCAAAACAGCGCAGGACTTCAGCAGCCTGACAGAGGCGGCTGCTGTGGCCCTCATTCAGGACTGCCTGCTGCCCCCCACCCAGGCTGCGGTGGTGCAGGGAGCACTGGTGGCCCTGATGGCCCAGGAAGAGCCGTAGTCCTGGAGCTGTGTCTTCACTAGCTGGTCTGTGCCCCTCTCCAGAGGCTGCTCACTCTCTTTTGGTCACTCAGGCATTTATTTCCATGGCTGCCTTCCCACATCTCTAAGCCTAAAGGGAGAGATGAAGAAAGAGCTGAAAACTGCCCTATGTTTCCAGCACTCTGGGAGGCTGAGGCAGGAGGATGGCAAGTTTGACCCTAGCTTGGGCAACTGAGTGATCTTGGTAACTGGTCCCCATGAAAGGGCAAAACCTTGGAATAAATCTAATGAATGTTCTCTCATGGATGTAACTGCTGCTGCTCACCCTCCTTGGACAAGCTCAAGGGATGTTAAGCCTGTTGTTAAGGGAATGTGTGCAAGAAGTTCACACTCCATATGTGGACCTTTGCTGTGGCACCAAATGTTAGCCTTTTTTGTTTTTTCTTTTTTTGTGCTGGATATCAAACTCAGTGCATACTAGGCAAGTGCCCACTCACTGAGCTACAGCCCAGGGGTTGGCCTTTGCTTTGATGGTTTCTGTGCCTCTAACATGGAGCTGGCACTTGCTGTGTTCTCACCCTCTCTGTCCCCCTCTTTGCCCACTCACAGCTGATTTTTTTTTTTTTTTTTGGA